ATATGTTAACAAAAAAAACCAAACTCACTGCTATCAAGTTGAATCTGACTCATAGCAACCCCTCCTTGGGTTTCTGAGGTGGTGTCACTATGGAAGTAGCTTGCCTAGTCTTGCTTCCGAGGAGTGGCTGGTGGATTTGCACCGCCAGCCTTCTGGTTAGCAGTCAAATGCCTTAGGCACTGTACCACCAGAGCTCACATATATGTATGCTCATATATGTATACATTTATCTCCCCCCCCCCCAACCTGTCTGGAAATTTTCCCTTCCCTCCCATCCCGTCCTGGTAACTAACAAAGAAAGTTTCCTTCCATATATAAACCTCTCCTTGATTTTTTACAATAGTGGACTAATAGAGTATTTATCCTTCTGTTGACCTGTTCCACTCAGCATAATGTCCTCCAAGTTTTTCCATGCTATGCGGTGTTTTGCAAGTTCTACATTATTCTTTAGGGTTGCATAGTGGGAATTTTTAAAAAAATGAGATATGCCAGTGGATGAAGAAATTTCAGAACTGCTTTCTGTTGCTTTGTTATTATTGCTATTAAAGTAAGAAGTTTTTCCTTTTTTTATGTAAGGAAGATAAAAATACCTTTCCTGGATATAATTCATGATTCATTGTTTACTACACCATCTTTGTAAATGGGATGTGTTTTAATGAAGTCTTTATTAATTCTGCTCCACAATGTCTATAGCATGTTACTTTGAACATTCCACCTTCCTTTAATTATATAGAATTACCTAGCTTTTTGGAGGGAACTTCAGAAGAGGTGTTATTTTATTCTTTTTGCCCTCTCTAATTAGATGAAGAAGGTACTACACCTACTCCTCACTTATCAACTATCTTGTTATCCAGCATTTCACATTTATGACAATAGTAGAAAATCTGCTATATGACTATTTCACACTTCAACATACATTTGGCTATAATGAACACTGAGGTACTAGGTAAGAGTAAAACTGGCTGTGATGGTTAAGGTTATGTGTCAACTTAACTAGTAATTCTCAGTGGTTTGGCAGTTATGTAATGATGTAATTTGGAAGTTTTATAATGATGTAATCATCCTTCATTTTGTGATCTGATGTGCTCATACTCCATTTTTACGTAATGCAAATTTCACATAACAAGCTGGTCTTTGGAACCTAACCATGTTGATAAGTGAGGAGTTGGTGTTTTGGGAAATAGACCTGAAAGCAGGAAGGAAGCAAATTAAGGGGTTGCCCAGAGGAAGAGGGAACAGCATTCGAAAGCATTAAAGCAAGATCATGCCTGAAATATTTGAAGAGCAGCAAAGAGGCCAGCACAACTGAAAAAGTAAAATAAAGGAAGCTGAATTTCAAGAGATGTGACGGTTGAGGGTAGAGGAGGGCAGATTATGTAGGGCCATTGTAAGGATTTTGAGTTTAACTCTGAGACTGTTGTTCTTAGGTGCCATCAAGTAGTCTAACTCAGAGTGACCCTGTGTACAACAGAACCATACACTGCTCGGTTATGGGCCATCCTCACAGTCCTTGCTGTACCAGAGCCCATTGTTGACAGTGTTTCAGAGCTATTCATAAAGTTTTTCAGTAATACATCAGACAGCATTTCACTGCTGTTCATCAAGTTTTCTCTGGCCAATTCTTTGAGAAGTGGATGGCCCCTTCTTTCTTCCGAGTCTACCTTAGTTTGGAAGCTCTGATGAAACCTGTCCACCATGGGTGACCCTGCTAGTATTTGAAATACTGGTGGCATAGCCTCCAGCCTGACAGCAACATGCAAGCCACCACAGTATGACAAAGTGACAGATGAGTGACCTTTGAATTCAGCCTTTTCTAATGTTCTTATTTATAATTGATTAAATCAAATATTTCTATAACTTGCTCAAAGTAACATTAGAAGTTTAGTTTTTGTGGTAGTTAAGGTTGTGTGTCAACTTGGCTGGGCTGTGGTTCTGAGTGTCTTGGCAGCTGGATGTCATTATTCCCCACGATGAGATTGGAATCAACACCATGGTGGAATCTGCTGTGACACCTTAATCAGTGGAAAGGGAACTGCCTTTGGGGTGTGGCCTGCTCCAGGATATAAGGAGAAGCTTTGGGAAAGGTCTGTAGCTTTTATCACATTTGGATCCTGCATTTGGCTGAGTCTTCATCTCAGTGGCATGCCATATTGCCTGCCAGTACTGGGATTTTACCTGGACTTGAACTAGTGGCCTGCTGTGTTGTGTGCTGATGTTGGGACTGTGACATTTTTCCTGCCAACCTTGGGTTCATCAGCTTCAGCAGCCAGCAGCTGCCTGAGTTAGGAGATGTGTCTGGCTCCAGTGGGCCTGGAATAAGAGGTAGAGCTAAAGCCCAGCGTCAGGGAGCCTTCACCCAGCTCCTGGAGGCAGCACTCTGAATTTGGATTTCTAGTGTCTTAAACTGTAAGAGAATAAATTCCTGTTTGTTAAAGCCGTCCATTTGTGGTATTTCTGTTATAGCAGCACTAGTGAACCAAGACAGTAAAAAGTTAAGTTTTCAGGATTTATGACTTTCAGATTAGCAAATTCCTGTAGTTGCATAGGCACTCCTATCTTAGTCATGAAAGAGACCACATGTTTTAAGTTTTTATATTTAACCTTTTTATTTCTTGATGAGAGAGATCCAACTTTTAAACTTCCTATAGGGAAACCAAAAGAGCTCTGGTGGTGTAGTGCCTAAGGCATTTCACTGCTAATCAGAAGGTTGGTGTTCAAATCCACCAGCCACTCCACAGAAGGAAAACTGGGCAATCTCCTTCTGTAAAGATTTACCATCTCAGAAACCCAGAAGGGGTCACTGTGAGTCAGAATTGACTCAATGGCAGTGAGTTTGGAGTGTTTTTATAGGGAAACCAATACCCCTTTCTAATTTTTAACCTTTTCTTGTTGTTGTTGTTGTTTTTATTTGCCGTCGAGTTGGCCCCGACTCAAAGCGACCCCTCCTTGCGTTTCCGAGGCAATATCACTACAGAAGTAGGATTGCCCAACCTTCCTTCCGAGGAGTGGTGGTGGGTTTGAACCGCCAGCCTTCTGGTTAGCAGTCAAGTGCCTTAGGCACTATGCTACCAGAGCTTTTCTTACTAGTGAAGTTTATTCCACCTATTAGATGTACCGTAACTAATATTTTCTTTAGAGTAACTATCTTTGTATAATTTTTAAATTAGCTTATTTCTATGTCTAGCATTTTATTGTCCCTTTTGACCTCAGTAGCATATTGGGCTCAAGTATATATTAAATACTTCCCAGGAAATTTTTACTCTACTCTGTTGACTGTTAAAACCTTGGGTTTCTCTGACTTAACAGATACAAATGGGCTGTATTGGGAATTTTATAACATTGGCTCTCAGTAAATCCTTTCCTATGAGTTGACAGGCATGTGGTGAGATAACAGACTGTAGTTCTCAAGTTCTGTGTTAAGCCAGAAGGACCAAGGTAGTTGTGACCATACTACATTTATTTATACTTCAGATCCTTGTTGAAGGCATTGTTGAAAGTGTCATTATGATATTCATCCTCAACTACTGGCATACTGTTTTTTTACTCACTGTTTCTCTGACAATTACTTCAAGTAAAATTATTTAATTTTCAGAGAGACACTAGACACCAGAATCTATAAATAAAGTAAAAATAGATTAAGAATATTATGAAGCTATTCCTCAGGCTATAAAAAATATAAAACCAAAACCAAACTCACTGCCATCAAGTCAATTCAGACTCATAGCAACCCCCTTTGGGTTTCTGAAGTGGTAAATCTTTACAGAATTAGATTGCCCAGTCTTCTTTCCATGGAGTGGCCGGTGGGTTTGAACCTCCAACCTTCTGGTTAACAGTCAGATGCCTTAGGAACTATGCCACCAGAGCTCCTATAAAGAATATAGAAATAATAAGATATTTTATGTTCTTCATTTTATGTCTACATTTGTGGCTCCATTTTACATATGTGGTTTGATAGCCAGTTTTTAGTCCTTTGAACATACATTAGTTTTATGTCCAAAACTGTTTGATTTAAAAGAATTTTTTTTTTTTTGTTCTCGAATATGATTTACATTTCATTCCAGAGAGGAGCATAAAACTTATGCTCCTAGTCCAACCCAGTTGGTAAGAAGGCAATCTCAGAAGGCTAAGCCAAATTTGAGAATGGCGCACAGCAAAAGAAAGGAACCAGAACCAGAAAAAGACATGGCAGATCATAGTGAGGCAAGAAAGCCAGAAGGTAATTTGCTGCAGCAAGGAGATTCTGACATCCAGTTCCTTCCTAAAGTAAGTTTGGAAAAAATAATTTTTGTCACTGAGTTCTATTTTGTCTGGGTCATGTAGGAGAGAATTAAAAACACACAGCTTTGCCTTTTGTATGTATGACTCTTTTCATGAAAATTGAATGACTTTCCACTACTATAAGAATTTAGAAATTAAGTTGTGTGTGTGTAAGCTCAGAGTTTTTTTTAAGCCAAATTACCAAACCGAATTAACACAGATTGTTTCAATGGTAATATGAGCTATTTCTTCTTAAATTTAAGAAAAAGACCAAGCTTCTGACATCTCTGGAGATTTCAGCAAGAAAAGATTATATAGGTCCTAAAGAACCTGTCTTAGCCAAAAAAGATGCTCAGTCTGAAGAACTTGGACCATTGGGAAGTGCTACAAAGGAAACTTCGGGGGATAATTCTGTGTCTTCAATTATTAAAGAGCAGTATCTCAGTAAACCGGCAAGGTAAAGTTTTATTTAACAAGTGCTTTGAAAATGGGAAATAAAAATCACTCATTCCTTATGAGAGCTTTACATAGCTTACTGTTATAGCAAAAAGATGACTTGTTAACAGACGTGGAAATAGTTTTTTTATTGACAGGTATGTTTTTTTCCCCACTGTTGATTCCTATTTCCTAAAATTATGTATTTTAGTTCTACTTAGTAAGATTTCTCTTTCCTGGCTTTAAAATTTGAGTGTCGAGTATACTAGACATTAGTAGAAGCCTGACCAAAAAGTAGTGTGTATTACCCAAGTAATTAGAGTGGTAATTCAAATGGGGTCCCAAACACATGAGTAAAGCACTTCTTCTATAGTTTTCAAGGAAAGTGGAAAGAAACCAAAGTTCTAAGCAGCATTGCTCTGATGGATTTTTCTGTTCTCCCCTCTCCTTTTCTTTGCTTTTTTTTATTTTGACTATATATGCCATTCTAACCATTTTCAAGTATGCAATTTATTGGTGTTAATTACGTTCACTTGGATTTCACTTGATACACAATCAACAATTGAAACAATCATCAGTTTTACTTGGATCCACAATCAATACCCATGGAAGCAGCAGTCAGGAAATTGAAAGATATATTACATTGGGCAGATCAGCTGCGAAAAAACCTCTTTTAAAGTGTTAAAGAACAAAGATGTCACTTGAAGACTGAGGTACTCCTGATCTAAGCTATGGTATTTTCAGTAGACTCATGCATGTGAGAGCTGAACAGTGAATAAGGAAAACTACAGAAGAATCATTACATTTGAATTGTGGTGTGGCTGAAGAATGTTGAATGTACCCTGTACTGCTAGAAGAATGAACAAATCTGTTTTGAAGGAAGTACAGCCAGAATGCTCCTTAGAAGTGAGAATGACGTATTTTATCTCACCTACTTTGATCATGTTGCCAGAAGGGACCAGTCCATGGAGAAGGATATCATGCTTGGTAAAGTAGAGAGTCAGCGAAAAAGGGGAAAGACCCTCAATGAGATGGAATGACACCGTGGCTGTGATGATGGGCTCAAGCATGGCAGTAGTTAGGAGGAGGATGGCGCAGACCAGGCAGTGTTTCGTTGTCTTGTATATAAGGTCGCTATGGGTCAGAACCAACCAAAGACACCTAACAACATCATTTACATTCACATTATTGTGCATTCATCCCCACTTTCTGTTTCCAAACATTTTCATCTCCCCAAACAGAAACTGTGTATCCATTAAGCACTTCTTCCCCATTCCCCTCTTTCCCCAGCCCCTAATAACCACTTTTTATCTCTAAACATTTGCCAGTTTTGGTATGGCATGTGGACAGATTATACAACGTTTGTCTAAAATTTTGTGTCTGACTTATTTCCTTCAGCATGCTGTCGTGGTTTTTGGGTTACATGCTTATTCTCCAACCAGAGTTCTGTGAAAGGCACCTTTTCTTTTAACCTAATCTGCTTACCCAATAAGATAATCCAGTTTCACTTTTTGATCCCCTATACTATATGTTGAGGAGCTCTGGTGGCATAGTGCCTAAGGCATTTGATAGCCAACAGAAGGCTGCCAGTTTAAACCCACCAGCTACTCCTTGGAAGGAAGGTTAGGCAATCTACTTCTGTAGTGATACTGCCTTGGAAACCCAAGGAGGGATTGCTATGAATTATCTGACTTGACAGCAGTGAGTTTGGTTTTTTATACTGTATGTAAGGTGCTGTGGTGGCATAGTGCCTAAGGCATTTGACTGCTAATCAGAAGGTTGAGGGTTCGAACCCACCAGCTACTCTGCAGGAAGAAGATGGGGCAATCCACTTCCATAAGGATTTACTGCCTTGGAAACCCAATGGAGGTTGCTGTAAGTTGGAATCGACTTGATGGCAGTGAGTTTGGGTTTTGGTTATACTCTATGTATTGACTCAGTGTCTTTTATCCCTTTTTTTTCTGTTGCCAGTCTGTAGTTCATTTTCATTTATATATAGTAAGACAAAAATGGCCCACAATTTAAAAGTTACTATGACAATTTTTTAGGTAGATAACTAAGAACTAACTATGAATAAGAAATAAAGTAGTAGTGACAGTAAAGTCTTTTCTCTCCTCAGAACAGAATTTTTTGAAAGAATAGGTGGTGGGAGTTTTTATTTTAAAGGCTTGAACTGGAATTGCACTCTAAAAGTTTGGTTGTCTATAAAAATGATCCTCGTACATATAATGACCATATTGTTGTTTGATTAAATCCTCAGCTGTCCACGATTATTGAAAGAACCAAATTACTCCAAAATTGCACTAGATCGAAGAACAGCTATCTCTTCTGCCTCTGAATGTGAGATAGGTCACAATGAAAGGAAAATTCATCGAAAGAGCAAACCAAATGTCACCAAAGGGCGTGCATCAAAGCGAAATCGGGGCAAGAGCTCTAAGAAAGAACCTAGAGCTTCAAAGTCTGTGCTGGTGACTCTTCGGGCTTCCCAGGAAGAAGAAGATGATGATGATGAAGATTTTGCATCTGACTATGAGGAAGAAAGCTATCATCTTGCTCCAGAAGAAGTAAACAAAGCTCCGGTCTTTGTACCCCTTGGTCTTAGATCTCCTGAACCTGTTGCTACACAGATTGAGGAAACAATGGAAGAGGTATAGTTTTTCTTTTTCTTTTGAATCCTTGGCACTGATCTTTGTTTATTCTCATTTTTCTTTTAGTAGATCATTATTTCTTCTCTTAGTTATTAATAGAATTTGAATAGATCATTCTCTTAAATAAACTCTAACAAACATGTTTTGTTTGGTGCTTAGTGGAATGCCAAGCACTAAGAATATTAGCCTTGGAAAATTTTGTTCACTGGTTGTAATAAGCACAGAATCTTCAGCAATCAATCGTAAACATTTTACTTTTGCCACGTTGCTATTAATCAGTTTAAGAATTAACTATGTTTTAGTTTTTTAATGTGGATTATTCTGTTTAACATTTTGATTTTTGGATTCATGTGGGAAATGAGGTTTTGGTTTTGGTGTTTGTGGTGCACCAAAATGAAATAATGAAACTTTCCATTTTGACAGCTTGAAATAACTGTGAATGTCCCAGATACCACATGCATAGATACTGTTGAACATCATTTCTCAAACACAGATGTTACTACTCAGGAGATGAAACAAGAAGAAAATTTGAGTGCATTATCAATTGTAAGCATCCATTTTAATGTTTTTGCCTTTTGTTTGTTGCTTACTTTTCAAAGACTAGGAGTTTATTTTGATAGCTTTAGGTTTACAAACAGTTACTTTCTCTCATATAGGGAGGTATAAGTGTAGATAGTAGAAACTAGTGGAGTTTTTATATTTGGCTTGGGAAGCATTGATTTGTGTGTGGATATATAGTTCTTAATATACTCATAGGCATATGCTAAATTCTTTTTCATTAAATCTATAATAAATGTAAATTATTTAAATATATTTAGTTTCACACTCTTCCCCATTTGTTTTGGCAAATGAAGACTTGGAATAATTTATAGTTTGTAATTTTTTGAAAATAGCTTTACTGAATACACTTCAGATACTATTTACTTAATCCATTTAAAATGTAGGATTCAGTGGTTTTTAGTATATTCATAGATGTGTGCAATCATTTCCACAATTAATTATAGAACATTTTTTATTGCCTCAAAAAGGAACTTCATATCCTTTAGTTGTTACTCCACTATCTTCCCATCTCTCACTCCCAGCACTAAGCAACCACTAATCTACTTTCTGTCTCAGTAAGTTTCTCTGTGCTGGACTTTTTATATGAATAGAATCATACAGTAAGTATGTGTTCTTTTGTAACTGGCTTTTTAAACTTAGCACGATGTTTTCTAGGTTCATCCATGTTGTAACATGTATCAGTATTTATTCCTTTTTATGACCCAAGTAATATCGTTTCATTCTGTTATATATATGGTTGCTATGAGTTGGACCTGACTCAGTGGCACCTAACAGCAATGGTATTCTACTGTAAACATACCATATTTTGTTTATCCCTTGGTCTGTTGATGGATATTTAGTGTTTCCACCTTTTGGCTGTTATGAATAATACTTCCTTAAACATTTATGTACAGGTTTCTCTGTGAACATGTGTTTTCATTTCTCTTGGGTATGTATCTATGAATGGAATTGCTGGGTCATATGATTATGTTGTGTTTAATCATGTTAGGAAACTGTCAGACTGTTTTAAAGTGACTTTTGGTTATATAGTGCCACTCTGACAGGAGTATATACCACCAATGGGATGGCCTTAACAAACAGAAGTTTATTCCCTTAGTTTGGAGGCTTTAAGTCTGAATTCAAAGTGCCAGGCTCTAGGGGCTAGGTGAAAGCCACTCAACCTTGGGGTTCAGCTCTCCCTCCTTCTCCCGGCCCACTGGAGATAGAGGCTTTTCTTCACTCAGACAGCTGCTGGCTGCTGAGACTGACAGGCCCAAGGTTGACAAGTAAAAAAGCACAGTCCCGATGTTACCAAACCACATGGCAGGCCATTAATTCAAGTCCATTGAAAGTCCCAAGGTTGGCAGAGCATGGCAGGCTGCTGAACAACAACATGGCTACATGCAGGGTTCAAGCGTGCCATAAGCTAGAGACCATTCCCAAAGCTATTTCTTATATACAGAAAGCAGACCACATCCCTAAAGCAGCTACTCAGCTGCTTGTGATAGGTCCCACCATGGAGTTGATGACCAGTCTCATCATGGGGAATACTACCACTGCCCAGCCACTCAACTTGGCACCTGTACAGATCTTCAGTGGGTGGTATCTGTACAGATCTCTTCCACTGGGTAACTCCAGTTCCCTAGTTCCTGAGTGGTGACCTTACCCCGTTGGCCTGGCGGGCCACGTTTCTCTCCCTCTTGGGCATGGCAGCCCTGCCCCCTCACTCTTGGGCAGTGGCTTGACTCCATCCCACTAGCTCACATGAACGAGCAGCCCCACAGTCCATAACCAAGTTGGTGAAAGTCTGGCTTTTTGAAATCTAGGGGGCTGTGGTGGTTTCAGCCCCAAAGCCATGGTCCTACCCTTGAGGCTGAGGCACCTCTACTTCTCCTTTCCTTGGTCTCTCTGCTTCTGGTGATTAATGGAAAGGCAACCCACTCCACTGGAAATCTTCCTGCCCCAGAAGCACTCAGCTTTCTTGCTCCTTGGACCAGCTAACCTGCTAGTCCATTTCATGCCGGTCTCCTCTACCAATTAATGCCCAAAGCAACCCACTCCGCCAGGAAGCCGCCTGCACAGTGGTATCCAGCTTTCTCCTGCATGGCCTGGTAAGGCTGTTGCTATCTCATGCTGGTTCTTTCGGCTCTACTTCTGCCATCTCTCATGCTGGTCTCTCAACTCTGCTCCTGCCATGTCTCATGCCAGTCTTTTGACTCTGCTCCTGCTGTCTCTCATGCCATATGCCGGGGTCTCTCTGCCAGGTCTCAGGTCAAGAACGTACCTGTTCTGGTTACCTAGTGCCGCTCTGACAGGAATATACCACAAATGGCATGGCCTTAACAAACAGGAGTTTATTCTCTTACAGCTCGGGAGGCTAGAAGTCCAAGTTCAAAGTGCCAGGCTCTAGGGCTGTGTGAAAGCCCCTCGACCTTGGGCTTCAGCTCTGCCTCTTGCTCCCAGCCCACTGAAGCTAGAGATATCTCTTCACTCAGACAGCTGCTGGCTGCAGAGGCTAACAAGCCCAAGGTCAACAAATAAAATGGCACAGACCCGATGTTACCAATCACACAGCAGGCCATTAATTCAAGTCCATTTAAGTCCCAAGGTTGGCAGAGCATGGCAGGCTGCTGAACAATGACATGGCTACATGCAGGGTCCAAGCGTGCCACAAGCTAGAGACCATTCCTAAAGCTGTTTTTTATATATGGGAAGCAGACCACATACCCAAAGCAGCTGCTACTCAGCTAGTTGTGGTAGGTCCCACCATGGAGCTGATTGCCAGTCTCATTATGGAGAATACTACCACCAGCTGCCCAGCCATTCAACCAGGCCCAGCCAAGTTGACACACAAACTTAACCACCACAGTGAGTGTACCATTTTACTTTTTCATCAGAAGTATGAGAGTTCTGATTTCTCTGCATTCTTGCCAACACTTGTTCATTGTTCAGTGTACAAGTCTTCTACTAATAAATGTGAAGTAGTATCGTTATAGTTTTGATTTGCAATTCCCTGATAATTAATAGTGTCAAGCATCTTTTCATGTGTTTATTGGAGAAGTGTATATTGATGTCTTTTGTCCATATTTAAATTATTTATTTCTTTTTTGTTGAGTTCTTTATATATTCTGATTCCATGGCCCTTATCAGATATATGATTTTCAAATATTTTCTACTGTTCTGTGGGTTGTCTTTTACTTTCTTAATATGGTGTCCTTTGAGGCAAAACTTTTTTTCAGTTTTGATACAATCTAATTTACCTGTTATTTCTTTTGTTGCTTGTGCTTTTGGTGTCATATATAAAAATCATTTGCCAAATCAAAGGTCAAAAAGATTTAGTCCTATGTTTTCTTCCAAGATTTTTATAGTTTTAGCTCATAACATTTAGGTCTTGATCTGTTCTGAGTTAATTTTTATGTATATTTGAGGTAAAGGCTTAATTTCATTCTTTTGCATCATTTCCCAGCACCATTTGTTGAAGAGGCTGGTCAATTCACTATAAGTCTTTTGGTTCATTTTTGGACTGTCAGTTCTCTCATTGATCTATGTCTGTCATTTTGCTAATTCCACATTTACCTTGATTACTGTTTGTAGCTCTGGTGGCATAGTGCCTAAGGTATTTGACTGATAACCAGAAGGTTGGTGGTTCAAACCCACTAGCCACTCTGTGGAAGGAAGGCTGGGCAATCTACTTCCGTAAAGATTTACTGCCTCAGGAATCCAAAAGGGGTCACTATGAGTCACAAGTGACTCGATAGCAGTGAGTTTTTTTGAGTTAGTGTTTGTAGTAAGTTTTGAAATTGGGCAGTGTGAATCCTGGTATTTTATCCTTCTTTTTTCAGAATTGTTTTGGCTATTCTGGATCTCTTGCAATTCCATATGAATTGGAGGATTAGCCTTCAATTTCTGCGAAAAAAAAAAACCCAAAAAGCTACAGGAACTTTGATAGCGATTGTGTTGAATCTCTAGATTGCTTTGGGGTAATATTGACATCTTAACAATATTTAGTCACCCAGTTTATGAATATGAATGACTTTCAAATTATTTAGATCATCTTTAATTTATTTTAGCAAATTTTGTAGTTTTCAGTGTACAAGTCTTTTACTTCCCTGCTTAAATTTATTCGTAGATATTCTATTCTTTTAGATGCTGATAAAAAATGGTATTATTTATTTGATTTTCAGATTGTTCATTGCTGGATCTCAACTAATTTTTTTTGTTGAGATGCTCATTTTTTTAATTTAAATTTTGGTTGTGATTTGGATGAAAGTTTACTTACCCAACCAGTTTTCCATTCCACGATTCACATACATTTTGGTTCATGCCATTGATTGCAGTCCCCACAACAGTACTCAATCCTGCTTCCTCTCTCTGTTTTTGTTTTCCTTCCTCCCTCTTTCTTGTATCTTCCTGCCTTCTGAACTTTTGTCTCTGGGTACCTACTGCCCTCTTGATCTCAGATGATTTGATTATTCTAAACAGTGTGTGCCTCCCTGGTGTTATTATTCACCTGATAGACCTGTGTATCATGGACCGAAAGTTGAGCCATGGGGTGAGTTCAGTTGTAGGTTTGAAGAGTGACAAAGGTTTATAGTCTTGAGGGTTCTCCAGTCTCTGTGTGACCAGTGAGCCTGGTCTTTTTTTTGTGATTTTCAAGTTTTGTTCCACACTCATCTCCCATTCTATCCCGGACCTTCTATTGTGATTCCTTTTAGACTGGTCGGTAGTGGTATCTGGGCACCATCTAGTTTTTCTGGTTTCAGGATCATGGAGGCTGAGGTTGGCATGGTCTGTTAGTTCTTTGACTGATTGTTTTCAAGTGTCTTTGATTTTCTCTACTGTTCTTTGCTGCTGACGGAGAGAGATCAGTACTTGCACCTTAGTCACTCATAAGCTTTTAAGAACCTAGTCACTGCTCACCAAAGTAGGATGTAGAACACTGACTTTGTGGACTATATTGTGTCAGTTGACTTTGGTGTCTACCAAGACTATGGTCCTAATCCCCT